ACCCGATTGAAGTTCGCCAAGCCTCGGGACGATGAAGTAAAAGGTCGCGCTAACGAAGATCCGCAAACCTTAACGAGTGTCTACCAGCCGGAATTAGCGGTCGAATTTGGCCGCGGTTCGCGGCGCAGTTCCTCGCCCCTGTCGAAAGTTCAAGCTGTCGATACACGTAGCCCTCTTTAATTGTTCTTCCGGACGATCGGACTGGTGATAAAGGTCTTCTTTATCGACGACGTGCCAGGAATCGGTAAGCGTCGTCGTTTTGTTGTGGTCGGAAGCAGGCGGGAAAAATTGCTCGGTGGTGTCTCTGGCAGAGTGTTTAGAAACTTTATTAGAATTGTGATGACGGACGAACGTGGTGATCGGTCGTGTCGGTTAGCTCAGGTTTGAATTTAGAAATTTAGAAACGTGTATATAAATGACGAGATATTTTTATTTAATTTGAAACAATATATTTTTATAGATTTTGACGATTTTTTTTTTTTTTTTTATGAAACATACAAGTAGGAGTTTATGCTCCCAGCTCTTTTGCATTTCAATTTCTCTTTCTCTCATATTATTAATCATCGACAGTTCTGAAATTATCGTTTCTGTCTGAATTTTTGTAAAGATAAAATATGCCTTCGATACTAATTGTAAGAGTACGTCTATTTATATTCACAGACAGGTTTTCTACTTTTTGTCCGTTTTATACGATTTACGTTCTGCAATTTACGCGCTATCACGCTCCCGTATTTTTATGTTCATAACTATCGTTTCACCGATGCGTATCATGTTTTACAATCAGCAGTTAATCACCCCGTTTCCGCTCTGTAAATACATCCCGTTGTAGCTCTATAAATACAGTGCCAGATACGCACAAAGTTATCACGTAGTATACTTTTATTTACGAGAAAAAGGAAGTTTCAGTAAAACTCTGTTTGTATGAACTTGTTGGAACGAACGTATTTCGTGGAAATATACTTGGGCACAATTGGAATCCACATGTTCAGATAAGTGGACTCAATCAGCAGAACTTGATTTAATCGAAGTAAAATTTCATTTTAAAAAATGCAGTTCGTATAAATACGATACTCGTCAAAAGTTCGAAAATATTGCTACTACGTTTCGTATTTAATTTTCATTAATAAAAATTAGTTTGAACAATTGCTCCATACTTCTTGGCTTTTAAAGTATTCCGGCCAAAGGAAAAGACAGATGTGTGTATAAAATATAGAAATGTCAAAAAATTCGTAAATTCAAATATTCCTTCTTTTTCTTCTTCACTTGAGAACATTTATATATTTTCACGCACTTCAAATACAGAGTGGCTTAGTTAACAAACTAAATTAAATTGAATTTGAAATGAAAACATTTCCAATTCTACGTACACAAAATTTTCAGTCTCGGCAATATTGCCTCAAGCTTCCGGCAACCTGTGTTTAACGAACACGTGATTTATATGTTACTCCATTTCCCAAGATCGAAATAACTTCTGTTCCACTTGACTCAGGATATTTTAGTCTTCTTCTTGTAACTTCGTTCGAGATATGTTGTCAGTTTTAAAGCAAGTAATGGTAATAAAGAGTTCTCAGATCGAATTAACACAGTTTGATTGTCGCGAGATCACCTTTCTCTGCTTTCTTTTTTTCATGTGTGTATTACATGTATCACAAGACATTTTGAAATCTCGTGATTATTGTTGCGAAACTCGAACTTCGCTGTTGTATTGAAACAATTCTGAAAATTTAATATGTAGAAGTTACATATTATTCATTAGGAATCTATGTTTTGTAAAAAATTAATATACAACATGAACAGTCGTGTTAAATATATAATACACATTAAAGATAGTTTTACTGAATATTCGGGTTTACTGATATGATGGATTTTGGCTGTTAAAATACTTCTTTCATCCCTGTGCAATATGTACTTGTATTAAATTTTAATATTTCATGAGTTCTACGTATGTTTTCAAATTTGATCCAGTCTCGATCAGTCTAGTTTCGTTAATGAAAATTCAATAATAATTCGTAACTAGATTGCTGGTTATATTTTCAATAAACATCTCGCAACTGCTCTGTAAATTTTCAAGATTGGATTTTAAATTTCGCCAATATAATCGTGCCGATACAATCGAGTCTCGTCGAGTCACTGTGCTGTTAATGGAATTTGAAAATGCAACGCATGTAAGATACAGGTGAAAATATTTCGAATACTTTCGCGACATCGAGTCCAACCGAATCAGTCGTCGGTGCAATTAGGAAAATATCAATATTAATTTATTATAATCAATTTAAATGGACAGCGCGCAGTCTTGATTAGTTTGCCGTGCGCCCATTGTATTTGAAGTGCACTCGCGCTTAATTAAATCGGCCAATCGATATTTCGTGATTGCGCGATTCAGATACACCGGTGACCGGATGTCCGCCGGTGATTCTTAATGCCGACAGCGTTTCGCTCGAAAGATTTCGCCTTCGAGCTGCGAATTATCTGTTTATTATGTTGCCTGTTCGCCTGAGCGCGATTCAAACCATGTTTCGACGCTTTTCTATCGCTTCGTTTCGATTGCCTCTCGCGTGTTGCCAGCCAATGTTCCGCAGTTTTAATTTCGTCATTCTCGTCGTTCGTAATTAAAGAGAAACTCGGGAGGATATTCGAGAGAAATCTTGGTCATTGTCGGCGATTTGAAATTTGCCGCGATTCACGGCTGTGTTGGATTTTTATATTTCGGTTGAAGTGCCGAGGTAAACGATTTACTTTGCCAGTAATTTCGATTTTACAATAGTGATAGTTGGATTGCACTTGGCTTGATTTACTTTATTCTTATTTTGGAAACAATATATTGTATTATTTTTGATATACAAATGTGTCAATATGTTAGACACAGTGAAATAGAAAAGTTAGGGAAACAATTACTTACGTAAAGATTTCAAATTGAACATTGAAAAGGGTCTGTCTTTGAATATTTTTAAAGGAAATAGAACTGATCATTTGTTACTCTTGCGATCAAACAGCGAAACATGCAGAGTTAAATATTGCATTTAATAAAATAAGGATTTTTTCCAGAAAATCTGATTAGATATAGAAATTAAATCGAGATTATTCCTACTAACCCAATTTTCGACCCAAAAATTAAAACGAAATAATGCAGGAGGATTGTTTATTTTTGCATTTAGATTGAATTTCAAATCTAGAGATTATTATTCTGCAGGTAACAAGAATTTAACTCAAAGTAACTGTTTTAGTAGAGAAGTTTCAAGCTAACGGTGCTCTTTCAAGTTAAAATACGTGCCTCGTGAAGTTTATTAAAGATTGCAAATACAGCTCGTTCTTCGCGTTAATTTATTCAGAACGAAGGAAACGTTTCGCCCTAGAGTTCATACTTATTTATCATTTAATTTCACGTGTTGTAAGTTACTTATTATTTAATAAGAGCTGTGCAACGAGAAGAAAATGTCAAAGGCTCGAGGTGATCCGTAATTTTGCCAAGTGAAATTTCATTGTAGTTAATCAAAGGGCTGAATAGATATAATGTATACATTTCTGAATAAAATCTAACTTATCGGAATGTTTAACTTATTTAAGAATAGATATAATATTTATTTGCCCACCAGAATATGCCAAATTTCTTTTTCGTCCCAACTTGTTTGTCTTAAAATATTAACTGCCAGACAGTGTGCAGCTTGTTTCTTAATCGTTGTGGTGATCGTTCTCAATCGACGTTTGCTCCGCAAGCGTTTCACCGCTCTGATAATAAATTGAGCGTCAACCGTCGAGAAAAGTGGAATAGATATTTCACTGTTACCTCCGGAATGCATTATGCTAGTAGCACTTGGTATCTGGAGATGCGATAAATTAATAGGAGCTGCGACTGAGACTACTTGGGGTCGATAGCAACCGGAATGTCGAAAATTCCTGTTCACGCTCAAATTTACGTAAGTATCTGCCTCGATGCGGCAGATAGTTTGGCACGGTTATCTAATATTCCTATACAAAAGCTGTAGAAAGTCATGCCGCGTTAATTGCATTCCTCACGTTGCGATACTTCATTTAACGTTGTCGTGTGTTTCCGGTTCGAGCCTCTTAGAAATTTCGAATCTGGCATGCAATTAAACGCTTGCCATTGCACCTCGTTGCGGCGCTTTAAACTCGTTGCTCGACTGCTCCTGTTCTCGTGCATTCTTTTGGGAATTTTAAAGCCGACGTGTAAAAACGAGAGGAACAAATTTCAATTGGAAATTAA